AGCCCTGTGAGCCAAGCCTGTCTGTGGGCCTCATTAGGCCTCCTGTTGAATGGGTCCTTTTGGACTCTATGACCTCAACAGCATGCAACCTGTCCTACGCCTCTCCAGCCTCAGCCTTCATGGGCCTCCGGGCTTCTCTGCCACCCCTGGGCTTTCCTAGCTTCCTTTAGCTGTTCTGGTCTCAAGGCCTCCTCAGGCACCCTGGGCTTTCCAGCTACCCCAGCCTTGCTGGCCTCCCTGGGCTGCCCACCCATCATGTGGCCTAGGTATGAGGAACAAAGGGCCTAGCGACAAGACCGTCCTTAGGCCGTGGATCCCAGCTCTTCTTCTGTTTGGATAGGAAGGGACAGGAAAGCCACCTGCTTCTGTAGGCAATTTGTCCCCAGGTCCTCAGGGTACCCAGCTGCCTGTGGTCACTTTTATGGATGCATGACCCAGGTGATGTCCCCATGGCAACTTTCATAGTCACCTTATCTTCACGGTCGTTTCGTTTCATGGTCACTATGCCCCACGGTCACCTCATGCAATGGTCACTTTTCTCAGTGGTCACCCACTCTCACTGTTCACATTACTACCGTTTCACTCAGTGGTCACTTAACCTCCACAGTAATGGCCTCATCCTTTGGTCACCTCCTCCTCATGGTTACCTGACCCGCACGGTCAGGTCACTTTTTCCTCACGGATGCGGCCCTCTCTCGACAGCCGTACATTTTGATCTGCCCTCACTACCATCCACTGAGGTCTGCACTTTCTCCCTGTGGCTTCCCAGGCTGGTCCCTCTCCTCTGGGTGTGTGTCAGGGAGCCCAAAGGCTCACTTCCTGGATGGAGGGTTCGAGCCTGCGGCCTCCTGGGGGCTGTGGAGCCAGGAGCTCTGGGCTGACAAGGGGGGGGGGGCAGGTGTCACTCTTAGAAGTAAACACTGGCTGTCTGTAATGAATGGTGGGCCGCGGGGGAGCCACTGCGGTATTTAACAGCCGATATTGGACTGTGCGGCTCAGCCTGGAACAGGCGCATTATGAAGGCTAATGGATTTTTGAGGCCAGATTGATTTTTCATTAATTTGGTAAAAATCTTTTTCCTCTCCCCTATAATTCTGTCTTAAAACGCTCCCCCGGACAGCTCGATAAGTCACTCCCGCCTTAATGCGTGTCTGGCTCAACATCTTGGGCTGCGGGGGGAGGGGAAGTCAGAGTGGCTGCCAATCACCCTCAGGTAAATACTGCATTATGCATGGGCATGGAGCCTGGGCCACCCCAAGGTGGACACATAGGGCAGCAGCCAGTCCAGGCTAATGTGGACCCTCCGTACGGGGTAGGCCTTGGTCACAGGCCTCCAGGGGCTCCTGGGATGACAGGGGAACTCTGAGAACCCAATGTGAGAACTGAGGTAGAGACCGCTCCCTGAAGATGGGACCTCAGACTTGAGAGGCCTCTTGCTCAGCTCTCCCCCCACTCCCCGCTCCGCTCAGCTCCCCCGCCCCAGTCTAAAGTCCACAACCCAGCTTGGACTCCTGCAACAGAGGGCTGCCACCTCAACCCTAGCCAAAGCATGGGTCTGGCAGAGCTACCTCCCCATCTTCCAACCCAACCTGACTTCCCCTCTAGAGGCTCCCAGGTCCCTCCCTGTGGACTCCAGGCTGTTCATTACTTTCCTGTGAGCCTCAGGTAACACTGCCTTTCCCTCCAGAGAGAGACTACGCTCTCTCTCTACTTTCTCCCATGGCGTCCGCTTGCGTGCCAGCATCAGTAGGTCCCACCAGAGCTGTCCACCACTCCTAACCCTACTCCAACATCCTGGAGTCACATCCCCATGGCTACCTAGGCCTAGACTGGACACTTAAGTACCAGAGATGGTGAAGATGGTGATAGGTTAGGGTGTTGGTTGATGCCAGCGCTGGTGGGCTAAGGCCAGGCTGGCAGGAGCCAGGCAGGAAGAAGAGAACTGCTTACTGGCTTGCTCTCCATGGCTTGCTGGGCTTGCTTTCTTTTGCTCCCCAAGACCATGTGCCCAGGAGTGGTACCACCCACAGTGGTCTGCATCCTCCCACACCAATCATCAATCAAGATAATGCCCTTCCAGACTGGCCCACAGGCCAATCCGATGGAGGCAGTTCCTTGCTGGGGTTTCCTTTCCCCAGGTGACTCTAATTTGTATCAAGTCGACAAAAGTTAATGGGCACAGGGCGAAGCTGATGGCGGTGATGATAAGGTGATTTTGACCTAAGCAACGGTGGAATAGGGTGATGGAGGCTGGGTGGTGAAGCTGACCTGTGACGGGAGGGATGGAGGTGGGAGTGGAAAGCTGGTGGGGAAAGAGAAAAGGGAGGAGGAGGAGAAAGCCAAGGTGTAGGGAAAAGGATGAGAGAGAGGGGAGGGCTGGAGGGAGGTAGGGTTGGAGGGGACAAGGGGAGTATGAGGGGAGTGAAGTTGGGGATACAGAGGAGGGCAGTGAAGGGGGAGTGTGTCCCTAACACAGCAGTGCTGGCGCCTCGTAGCTGGGGAGGGGCTCCTGGCCCTGTTCCACCTGTCACACAAGATCAGCATGCTGAGGACATCGATTTGGGATGAGGTGCTGGGGCTGTGGCCTACCCCCCTCCCCGCGCCCACCTCAGAGCTGGGGGAGGAACCTCAGGAAGATAGTCTGAGTAACTTGTAGGGGTACAGTGACCTAAAGGACTTTATCCTGGGCCAGAGCAGAGCCCTTGGTGGGCCTATCTGGTATCTTCTCTCTGAACAGGGTCCCTGAGGGAGCCAGGATCCTGGGTCCCCAAAGTCCCCCAGGAGTTTTGTTGCCCCACCCAGCAGAGATGTAGGTCTGTGTTCTTGGTGGAGAATCATGGCAGGCCACTGTATGATGGCTGCACTTTGACCATGGCTTTCTCGAGCCCTAATGGTGGCTTTCTAGCCGGGCTAGTGTGAGCTGGAGTGATCCTGCTTCTCTGAGGCTAGCAGCAAGTCTCTACTCTCTCTTCCCTATTCTGAGAAACTGAGGCACAGCCCACTACATCTGTCTCATGTCCTGGCTTGGCCATCATTTTCCCTCACCTGGGCTACAACTCCAAGTGGCCCAAGCCCCTACCATTCCCCTGCATCTGCCCTGCACCCGTCGCCTGCTCAGAACCAGTACCCAGCCAGACACTCCACTAAGCCCCCTACTATGGGCTTCTGACTCAGGTGCCCCACCAGGCAGGCCAAATGTCTGGCTTGCATCTTCACTCCGCTTCCTTGGACGTCCCAACCACACAGTCTCAGTTCACTCAAGGATGACAGTAATCCAGGGGCATAACTCCCTGGACTGGGAGCTTGGTGCACTGATTTCTCCTGTCCCTTGCTCCCGTGCCTGCAGCTGAACTCACAAATCCCTGGGAACAATGGACAAAATAAAATATTGATGGGCATGGGGGTAGGCATGGTAGGTGGAGGTTCTGGGCTGGGCCTTAGACCCAAAGCACACATGCAAAAGGAGGGGCCTAGAAGGCAGTAGCCCCGGAGGTAGCAGGGTCCTTCCACCTGAACATCTTCACTTGACTATCTATCACCAAACCTCCCAGTCCACACGCACCCCGCCCTCACTCTCTCCCCACCCCCACTCTCTCTTCTGTGCCTCCCTCTCCCACATTAATCTCCAGGCCTCTCACTGCTGATTCAAGCAAAACAGAGTTTGCCTTTTCCCCTCTCGGCAGTTTTTTGTTGGCAAAGCAGAAAGGAATCGCAGCATACACATGCCTCAGCCTCCTGCCCAGGGAGCTGCTCCGAAAATGAAGCACCCCTCCACGGCGTGTGCTGCCTTGGGTTGTATGCATGAGAAACACACAGGGACACCCCTCTTCTCTCAACCGTATGTTCTCCCTACTGGCCGTGGATGCTGGGTCTGCGCAGGCTGTGAGGAGACAGGCCGTCCCCGTTCTTCCCTCTCAGGCAGCACATATGTGTGACATATGTCATGTGTCTTCCTCAGGTATTCAGGGCCCTCACTGACCAGCTGGCCCGGTCCTTGTTCATGGCCCTAGGGCCCACCTATGATCCACAGTAGTTAGCATTTATGTGGCTGAGCCAGAAGGGGCTGCAGCTCAGAGTGAGGGTGTGGACAAACAAGAGCTGCCCAAGAAAGGGACATGGACTCTGAAGGCTGAGAAGATACCAGCTAGGTAGGAAGGTTCGGGGAACAGTGTGGGGCAGGGTGGTGGCAAGAAACACACCAGGGTAAATGGGCCCCAGGTTTGCTCACATTCCTTGCGGGGGGTGGCCCATTGGGGTGGCTGCCATGCGTTGTTAAGATCAGGGCTAGTACCCTCCAGCATGCACGGCTCTCTGGCTGGCTCCCATGGTGCCGGCCTATGTTATGCACACCTATTTTCCTGTCTAAAGAAGTTCACACAGAGGGCTAGGTAGGGCTTCCATTACCACACAGTCCTAGCCCAGACAGAGCTCTAGACCCAGGGAACCATGGTCCTAGGAGCTCTCCTGCCATGGCAGCTGGACCTCAGCCAGGACCGCTGTCCTGCCCAGGGACAGTGTGCCCCAGGGACTCGTCTCACGCTGGGAGAAGGCATGGATAAGCCACTCAGACACAATGGCTCCTGCTGGGAGGAGTCACCATGGCACAGGAACAACTTTAAGAGGGACCCCTAAAGCCGTGAATTTTGAGCAGGAGATTTGTGATTTCAGGTGGAGGGGCTCAGTTAGCAAGGGCCCGGGAACAAAGGCCTGGGCATGGTGCGGTCAGCAGAGTGTGGCATCAGGCTGTGGCAGCCTAGAGTCACTGTGTAGGTGAGGGGCAGCTCCTTCCCTCGTCTTGACAGACCATCCAAGGTGTGTGTGTGTGCTTGCATGCCTGCTTGGGGTGGGGGAGGAGTGGGGGAGGGGAGGGCCCTCGCATTCACCACCCTCCACAAGGGCTGCCCAGCCTGTCTTCTCTGATTATCATGTAATGGCTTCCTTGACACACTGTTTTATTAATAAAATTAACAAGAGCTGAGGAGCCTGAGTGACCTTGGCCATTCTGCTGCACTGGAGATTGTCCTAAGAGGGCAGGTGAAGAAGGAGGGGACACACCTGGTTCCCCTGGGAACCTCGACTGCTTCGGAAGGAAGTTGTGCTTGGATCTTCCTGACTCACGTGCTTATGGTCTACATTTGTCCTCGCTAGACCATGATGCTGACGTCCACACGGGGTGATGTGCAGCGGGACACTAGACTGTGTAGCCAGACCCGAAGCATAGAATCGGGTACTCTTACCTGGGAGCCCCACAGAAGAGATTGGAGGATGTAAGGGTGTGGGCTGCTGACTGTGTCTCTTTTCTGGTCCTTCCTCAGATTCACGGGGCTTGGATGAGCTGTAGCCTCCTAGGGCTGCATGAGTGGGCAACCGCTGCCCCCTGGTGGTCCCTGGGAACAAGTTCCCCATCTGTTTTTTGTTCTAGTTCTGGGGATTAAGCCCAGGGTTTCATGCACCTTGGGCAGTCTTTCTGTTCCTATCCTGAACCTTCCACGGCCTTTGAGGAAGAGCATCTCCATGGTTTTGCCATACACAGTTTAGGGTTGCTTCCCACATGGTGCCCCCATCCTGTCCCTTTGGAGTTCAGGTCCTGAGCCCACTCTTCTAAGAGACCTGCCCAGGCCTGCATGGGAGCAGCTGGAACTGGGCAGCCGGGTGGCCAGAATACTTGTTTCCTGGACAAAAGGTCGGACTCTGAAAGTTGGGGCACTATAAGGAGGCTGAAGATAAAATGCCTTCGCTGGGACCTCATACGGTGAGAGACCGGCAAGGGAAGGGAGGTCAGAGAGGTGATTGGCAGGGCCGCTCTGCAGCAGGCCTGCTCTTCAGGGTAGGAAGACATGTCTGAGGGGACATTCCCAGAGCAACTGGACCTGAGGATAGAGCCAACGCAGCAGCAGAGTAGCTGGGGCATGGCAGGGGCCAAGAGGCTTGGGCGGAACAGCACCAGCCCTGCTGCCCTCCGCAGAGGGCAGCCGTGGGAGCACTGGAGTGACTGGGGCATCCCTGGTGCGGGTAGAGTGGCCATGGTCTCAGGGAGCACTGGAGTGACTGGGACATCCCTGGTGCAGGTAAAGAGGCCATGGTCTCAGCACTGGGCTCAGATTCCTCTCATCTGACCGACATTTTTAATAAACATCTCTAGTTCTAAGCAAGTGGGGGCGGGCAGCCTATTGGTCCCCTAGCGCAGAGGGCAGGACGCACTAGGTACACCTGGCTAGCTGGAGCTGGTTACAGGGTGATGGACACAGCAAAATGGCCTCCACAGCCACCCGGGGCACGCAGGGGTCCAGGGTGTCCAGCTCAGGGACAGGTGACACAGTTCCTGTTCGTGCAGGGGTCTGGTTGACTCCCAGTCTTGCTTTGTTTGTTCTTGCGGCTCCAGGCAAGGATGGGCCAGGGGCGGGCACGGGCAGGCATCGGCGTCTCGAAGCCACACTCTCTCTGACTCCACAGCAGTGCTGGTCGTCGGGGTCCCTACAGCCAGGACAGGGACAGATGTGGTCAGCCATTATGGCCTGCCCTATCTGTGGCCACCCTGGGAAGAGGGCAGAGCCCTCTAGGAGTGATAGGCGTGTTAGGAACATGTTGGGGACATCTGAAGTGGCCATGTAAGGCTGCTTGCCATTCAACCCTGGAATGGCCTTGTTGAAAGGATGTGACCTCTGGAATAGACTGGTTTAGAAGCCTCTAGTCTGGGGACAAACCCCCACTGATATGGGCTGTGGGCTTCATTTGGAGCAGGACGATAGCCACACTGTGGAGGTACCATCACAGGTGAACACTGCCCAGGAAGCCACCTCCACTGAAGGCCACCTTCCCACCTTCGCTCTGAGGCTTCTTGGACAATCAAGAGGAAGGCCAGGGCTGGGTAGGGCTGGAGTTTGGGGATCTTCTCCCAGGCCAAGGATTCACCGTGCTACGTGGCTCAGGGCTGGGCAGCAGGGACACGACCTGCAGGCTCACGCCGTCCTCGCCCATGCCCCTCAGCTGCGCCACCACCTCCACGTGTTTCCACCACTTGCAAGGGCGCCCATTCACAGACACGATGTAGTCGCCCTCCTTCAGGCCAGCGGACTATGGAGAACGCGGATCAGTGAGGCGGTGGCAGACTGATGGTCTGGGATCTCAACACCAGGGGCCGGAGGACCTTTACCTCAGCCTGACTCCCGGGAACAACAGCAGCGATCAGGACAGGTGAGTCTCCCCGCAGTGTGAAACCAAAGCCACCCTCTCCTCGGGTCATGCGCACTGGCCCTACCAGCTGCCACCGATTCTTGGTTGAGAACACAGACAGGGGTCCCTGGAAGGAGACAAGTGGTAGAGGCCTAGCTGGGTGGTAGTCAAAGAGCCCTGACCTGCCTGGCAAACCCATCTTAGCCTGTATCCCCTAGGACAGAAACAGTTGAGGGGCCAAAGGGAAGGGGGACAGGGAGGGAGAGCGGGCTTGCTCACCAGTCGATGGAAGAGGTCAGTCACCTTCACCTGGGACAGGCTCGGCATTTTCACCTCTGGTGCTTGGTGGGTCTTGGCTGACAGGTCAGGAGGGAAAAGAGAATTGGAACCGAACCCCAGACTCTTGAACTTCCCAGAACCAGAGTTCCACGGATGGGACTTGGCTCAGTTCAGAGGAGTGTGTGGCCCTCAGTTACAAGTGGGACTTTCCTGGCTCCTCAAAGCCTGGTGTTCCCACTGACAGCCAGGGCTATACTAGTTCCCCAAACAGATGATGTATTGAGAGACTTCTAGGGATCCACCTGGAAGCCCCAACTGGCACTGTGCCCCTCTCCCCTCTTGCCTTGCAAGAACCAAGAAAGCAGGGAAGGGGATGGTAGGGGATGCTGGCCTGATATCCTCCCAGGGCTCCACTCCGCAGCCCAGGCTGTCTCCCCACCCACCCAAAGACGTTTTCACTATGCCACCCAGGCTGTCCTTCAACTCTGTCCTCCTGACTCAGTCTCCCTAGTGCTGGGCTGGGACCATAGGCATGTGCCACCACACCTGGCTGGCTGACGGTCCCTCAGCAGTAGCTGCAGGGGCTCAGCCTGGCTATTTGACTGACATCCTCATCCCAAAGGGCCCTCCCTGGCTGCTCACGCTGGATGTCGGGGGCCTCCACAGCCTCGAAGAAGTCATCCTCACGCTCGAGCTCTGAGTACTTGGCTAGCGATCGCCCCAGTGCCTGAGTTACCACAACCTGTAGCAGGTCTACCTTCCGCAGGACTCGGCACAGAGTGTGAAGCCGCAGCGCCTCCTCCTGGCCCAGGATGGCGCGCTTCAGGTGGGCCTTCGCTGTGCACAAGCATAGCACTGTCACATCCACCCACCCACACACACACAGACCCACATACATGCGTGCATGGGTGCCCTACCAACTGGCCCTGTCAAGCTGGGCACACACACACCACACATGAATGTATGGGAGCCCTGCCAAAGGGCCCTTCCCAGCTGGTTCCCAGACCCTCTGTCTCATCATTCATCAGGAGAGGGAAAGGGTCAGACAGTGTTAGCCAAACTAGGAAAGTTCTGCCAAGCCAAACAGTAGAGCAAGGGAAGAGTTGTCCCCAGTATGTAGCCACCTGCCCAGCACTCCCAGGAGCCCCTCTCTCAGCAGCTCCCACCAACCCAGGGATGCCAGCTGATGAGTGACTATGGAGCACCCTGCCACAATTGGCCCAGGGCCCTGTCTGTGATGCCTCACCAAGCTTCCTGCGCTCTTCCGGATGCTGCGGCAGTGTGGGGCCTTGGGGCTCACAGGTAGCTGAGGGCTGGAAGACGCGCTCCTGCCCTGGGAGCTCTCCCTTGTCGGCTGCTGGGGGTCAGAGAGGCCATGAGTGTGAGCAGAGAGCCTCTGTGGGCTCACACAGGCATGCGGGGTGACGCACTCACAGGAGCCTTCGCAGAGGGCCATGGCTGTGTGGTAGTGGGCCAGGGCACTGAAGTGCTCAGCCTTGACATGTGCCAGGTTGGTCCAAGAGGCGGGTAGGTGGTCTCGGACAGGTGGCTGGGCCATGACCCGGTGCACAAGCCGATATTCAGCTGCCACCTGCCAACAGGCATGCTGGTCCAAATGGAGCCTCTGCCTTTCTCTGGGCCCAGGAAGCTCAAGGGGCAAGGCCAGTCGACCCCTAGTAGACAGCCTAAGTTCCCTGCCCATGCACCCTGGACTCCACCTATTCTGCTCCACATTCTGGCAGCCTCTCCCTAGACTGCTAGCCGAGCCAGACAGGGACATCCAGGGCTTCGGTTCCTGTTCTCAGGACCACACGCACTGGGGCAGCCACTGGCATTAGGGAATGACACAGAGCACTAGATGCGGGTGCCTCCTTCGTGGTTGCCCATTCCTGCCTGACTTGGGTCCAAACCAAAGCTGCTCAGGTCCCGCTGAGCTCTGCTCTCTGAGTGGCCACGGCTTGGCCATCTCATTGAGGTTCCCAGGCAGGGCTCCCTGGCCTTACCTGGGCAGCTTCCTGAGCCAACTGCAGCTGAGCTGGACAGCTGTCGGGTGTGTCAGAGGCCCGCAGCAGAAGGCCCTTGAAGATGCACTCTTGTGCCTGAGCAACCATGAGCTGCTCCAGCATGGAGAGAGCCGCGGTGCTCATGTCTGGGCTCGGAGCATGGGAGAAGTTCTCCCTCAGGAGTCTGAAAGCCCCTGAGGATGGAGAGAGTGCTCAAACAGATAGGGACCTCCCATGCCCACCAGGACTACCTTCTGAACTTCCCACTAGAGGACTTATGTGCTAAGTTTTTCACGCAGGGAGGTCATGTCCACCAGCCATATTTCCTGCCCCAGAGATGGGCACCATACCCCGCCTACTAGCCTACTATGGTCGACAGCCCTCACCAGCAGCCCTCTGGAAAGCCTCAGCGGCATGGCTGGTGCCCTCGGTGCAGGAGCAGTCCTGCCGCGCTCCGATCTGCGTGTGGAGTGCCCCAATGTTAAACAGTATACTGCCCTTCTCGAAGGCCAGGGCCCGCTGCTGTGCCGGGACCCCCGTGAGCGAGTCGTACCTGTAGTATGGTGTCAGGATGGGTACAGTTCCCATAACAACCTGGCCTCCCATCCCAGGGCCTCCACCTCTGTTGCTAGCCCCTACCAGTGGAACAGCAGCCTTGGACTCCTGGCAGGGCTAAAGAAACGGGCATCCAGGAAACAGAGCTGGCTATAGTAGGCAGCAAGCAGATCCAGGCCGACCTCGTCCCTGCTGGGAGTCCTCGTGGCCTGCAAGGGAGAATTCAGTGGGGCCCAGTCCCAGGATTCACTACTCATGATGCCATCCTCAAATCTCCCTGGCCATCATCTCCAAGGAATACTTGACACCCCAGGAACTTTGAGGGCAGCCTGGCACAAAAGGCCAAGAAGGCCCCAGGGAGGGAACAGGCAGTGCCACTGTCCAGACCAACAGAGCATGACCAGAGTAGAGTCACCAGGTCCTTCCATGAACACTGGCTTTGCCTATCTCCCAGGTTTCCTAGCGTGTGGGGGCTCCATGTGAACCTCTGCACTGAGATACAACCTATGACTTGGCTTCCACTTCTGCCCCCGGAGCAGCAAGAGGGGAAGCAGCCCACACACCTGCCGTAGGTCCTCTAGTTCCTGGATCTCTGTCTCATAGGAGGTACCATCCTCTCCAAAGTGCTCAGAGATCAGCTCCTGTTGGAAGAACAGGTATTGCCCTTGGGGCACACCATGCCTGCAGCCTGCTCTGGGAAGGGGAGGGGCCAGAGAAGAGCAGGTTGTCTGTATAGTTGGGGCCAGGGAAGGGCTGAGGACCTGGGTGCTGTAACACTGGCAGATGCTGACGCTTTGGTTCCCAAGTCCTGGATTCCAAAGACAGAACTGGGCCAGGATTCTTGGGGTGCTATTTTACACACATTCTTTCATCTGCCACCTTGGAGACTCAGACACTGAGTCATAAGGTCATGTCATTTTCCCATGGGACCCAACAGGCCCAGGAAGAAGATATATGGAATGTTCTGGGGTCTGAATGCTCTCCAGGTCACTCAGGAGCCAGGCATTCACACAGAACAGGTGATGGTGACATCCTTGAGCCAGGAGACCCTCTGCGTGGTGGTCATACTGGGAATCCCAGAATGATGAAGCCCTTCATAGCCATTTTAGGGCAGGGCCTCAATCCTAACCTTTATCTAACCCTTAGCCCAGGTTGACATCAGAATCAGGCAGCAGGAAGATAGTGCTAGCTCCTGGTAGGTTAGCCCTTCCTCTCCCCATCCTCAGCTTCCTCACCTGTTCAATGGGATGACTAGATTAGGGAGCATCTAACCCCAGCCCACCTCAGGATCATGTCCTTCAAAGGTCACAGGCCAGCACTTACCTTCAGGGGTGTGGCCCAGTCCAACTCCTTGGTTTCCTTCAGGCCCAGGGGGATCATGGGAATAGTAACACTTTCACTAAAAGCAGAAATAGGAGCTCTAGACCTAGTGCCTCTAGCACCCTGGAGACCTCTCCCGAGGCTCCCTGCCCACCGCTGCACCCTCCACACATGTGGGCATGCCCCGCCTGGTGTCTCACACCCTTCTGGCTGCTCTACATCCGCACTGCTGCTCAGCTCTGCCAGCTCCTCTTTCAGCAGCTGCAGGTTGGAGTTGACATAGCTCAGTTCCAAGGCGACTGTCTGTCGGACCCAGGTGTTGCTGGTGGCTCTGGGAGAGGGGAGAAGACCCATGCCTGAGGCAGATCCAATGACCCAGACCCCCAACAGTTCTCCTGTCCCACCCAGGCTTCAGAGTCCACCCACAGGGTACTGCTGGGCTAGACCCCACTGCTGGAGTCAGGGTGGCAACAGCTAAGTAGAGCTGGCACAGAGGTGCCTTCCTCCTCTTTTTATAAAAATTTATTTATCTTTTATTTTATGTGCATTGGTATTTTGCCTACACGTATGTCTGTGTGAGGGTGTCAGGTCCCCTGGAACTGGAGTTACAGACATTTGTGAGGTGTCATATGGGTGCTGGGAATTAAACCCGGGGCCTCTGGAAGAGCAGTCAGTGCTTTTAACTACTGAGCCATCTCTCCACCATCCCCCCTTCCTCTTCTATGATACCTCCTCTTACACAGCTCATTCTCCAAAGCCATTGTGATTCCAACACAAGTTCCCCAGACTGTCGGCACAGCCAGCCCTCCCTGTGTCTGTACTGGGCCCCAGCACAGGGAGCAGGAGGTCTCTGGTGACAGGGAAGAGGAGGATGTTGGGGGGTCATAGCCCTGGGCTCCCTTGCAGAGTACAGAGTACTGTGTTTAGAGGAAGCTGGGTCAGAAGATCATTTACAAGGTCCTCAGCCTTGGAGTGCTCAGCCACCTATCATACACAGCTTCTGAGCAGCCTCCGAGGCTCACCAGATCCTGTTGGGCCTCCTAAGGAGGCTTTTGGTTCCTGGCCAAGCATTATGTGGGGAGGCCTAGAGGTGGCAATGGCCTGGTTTGTCTGTGAGGGTCTAGGCTGAATGGTAAAGTATAGTGAGGCTACTAGGACCCAAGTGGCAGCCACGTCAAGCTCATCTGCCCATCTGTCCCCAATCCAGGGCTCCGCAGTAGCAGGTGCTCACCTGTAGAGGTTCTCGGCACCCGTCCGCATTCGCAGCTCCTTGCTGATCTGCTGGTGGAGCCGAGCCCTGTGGCTCTGCAGCTGGCCAGGCTGGTTCTGCATCAAGGAGTCATAGCCCTGCAGGGAGGATGACGGTGGTGATGCCCACAGAACCCCCATCAGCATAGCCTCTGCCAAGATCAGGGGACCTGAACCTGTCCCTAGGAAAGGAAGTGGTCACTGTGGGCTGGATCCTCAGCTGGTATCACAGGGAGGGGCTGGGCAGGCCTGGCTGGGAACATGGGTGAGATGCTTCCCCACAATGCTTCACGGATGCCGTAGACTCAGCCTCATCCCCAAAATCTAATTGGCTTCCCCCATATAACCCCTTTCCTAACACCAGGTTATCCATGGTCCCACAGTTTAAAATATGGTGTGACGGGGCTCTGGACATAGTTCTATGAAGAGATGGCTCATTGGTTAAGTGCCCATACTGCTCTTGTAGAGAACCCAAGTTTGGTTCCTAGCTAGCACGCATGTCACATGGCTCACAACTGTCTGTAATTCTATCTCTGGGGGATTCCAACATCTCTGACCTCTGAGAACACCTGCATTCATATGCAAATAACCATATACAGACATGCACACACATAATTAAAAATAAAACCTCTTAAAAATTAAAATATGTTGTAATCTCCATCAGGAAGCCCTTTCTGCTAGTCCCTGCTGGAACCAACCTTACATGCCCTGAGGACTCACCAGCTCATCTATGTAGCTGGTACAATATGCCTTGGGGGTCTGGCCACCTTTCCAGGGAACTACTACCAAAGCCCAGGACAAAGTCCCTTTTAGAGGGACCTGGCCTGGGCTCTACCCACAGGGTTTTCCAAGCAGTGTACATGCCCACAGCACTAAGAACATGGCCACCAGACTGTCATGAGCCTGTGCTGCTCAGGCAGAGGGGACTGGTCTGTGACACAGACAACTAGGCATTGGGTTCCAGTGTGTCTTTGCCAGCCCCAGAGGGAGGAAAGCTCCTCCTGTGTAATGTGAGATGGGTGGCTTGAGTTATCGGTGACATCTCCTCTTTCCAGCCACAGGCTCAGCGGCCATGACCTAGAAGCTTCCTCCCAGAGACTGTCAAGGAGTGGGGATGAGTGGTGTTGTATACAGCTTTAAGTCCTACAAGCCCTGCAAGGTTCTTACCCTGCCTGGGTTAACCCATCAGCTTAAGACTTGGTGGCAAAGATTTTGTAGAAGGCAAAGAAATACGCGCACTAGTGGTCACAGGGACCGGAAGGCTCCAGTCCAAACAACACAGTGGTGTGTATGTGTGTGTGTGTGTGTGTGTGTGTGTGTGTGTGTGTGTGAGCGTTAACCCTGACACTGCCAATACTCATCATGCTTTAAAGCGTGGCCTCCTGTCATGTAAGAGCCGTCTCAGCACCTTGCAAGGGTTTAAGCAAGGCTTACACCTTGGCATGGATGGAGTTCCTGGAAGGCAATCACCTTGACTGTGGTCCCAACCTTCCCACGGAGCCAGCTTCCGAGAGAGGCTCATGTCACTGAAGAGCGCCCACAGAAGTGGCATGTGGGCTCACTCTGAAAGAAGCCGGCCATTAAGTCATCCTTGGGTGACCACAGAGAGGTGACTCACTCTCTGGATAGCTGGCACAAGACAGCATAGGGGCAGAGGAGGTACCAGTGCTGGACCCACAATGTACTGCCTCCTTAGGACCCATCCCTATCTGTGCAGGATGGACACTGGGGCCATGACAGTCTCCTCTCTTCCAAGCCACTAAGTAAACGACAAACATCTTTCTGAGATCCTACTACAAAGGCTCTGGAGTCCTAGGTTCTGGTGAGCAGCTAGGACTGCAAACATGCTGGGCAGTAGGCCTTAGCCCAGTGATGACCCACAGCCCCATCCCCTCCCCACCCTGATGGGGAGTTGCACCAGCCAGCCACTCTGAGCTCTCTAGGCCCTGGGCCTGTTCTCGGCCTTCTTAATTTGGTTCATTCAAGAAGGCCAAGCCAACCTGCTAACCTGTGTTGGCAGAAGGACAAGATAAGCAAGCCAGAGACAAATCTATAGGGCTGGATGGATTCTAGAAGCTGATGGCCTACACCCAGTTTTCCATACTGGGTGCCATCTCTCTCCTGGTGCAATCTCCCCACCCTCTGGAAACAAAAGCTACCCATGGTGGCAATTCCTGTCTAACTCTGGGAGAGCTTGCCATCACCTTTGACACCCCAATAACAATGGTCCAACCAGGACAGGGTCTGACCATGTCCAGAGAGGAAAGAGATGAGAACGGAGAAACAAAACCTCCCACCTAGTGGCCTGAACTGGCCTGTCCCCCAGGATTAGCAGAAGAGAGGGGACAGTTATTCCCATACAGGTCTGGGAATAGAAAGAAGGACTAGGGTAGTTCCAAGCCTTTCCAGGCTCCCCCACTGAGTCGGCTCTTTGGGAGAGTCCCACACTCTTGACAGGAAAGCTGCCCAATGCAACAAGCACTCCCTCCAAAGGGCACCCACAAGACATGGCCAGCCTGTGAAGGAGAATTATTTCGTGGGGTACATGGTGTAAGCTGTCTCTCTTTTCCTCCCTCCCTCCCTTCCTCTTTCTCCCCTCATCTTCCCCCATCTCTCTAGTGCCAGCTAGTCACTGTGGCATGAGGCATGCCAGGCAGGAGGGAGCCCTTGAGAGATCTGTCCAAGACTGGGTACCCTCTCTCCCCTCTCTCCCCTCCCCCATCCGCTAGGAGACCTGAGCCACATACACACAAAAGCTGGATAGAATGAGCCAGGAGCAATGTGCAGTCTGACACCAGGAAAGAGGAAGGGCAAAGTGCCATGGCAGACACCTGGGAGTAGTGACAGGAGCTTGTGCTTAGCAGCATGCCCCCCCCCCCCCGGGGTGGGGGGGTTGAGTAGGAGTATCACAGAACGTGCACAAACACTAAGAAACTTAAACACTCACCGATCCCTAGGAAACACCCAGATTGGGCCACAGAGTGAGATCAGCCTAACACCCCCTAAGCAAAGAATGAACAGGTCTCCATTCTACCCCTATTTACCCCGGGATTCCTGGAAGCCCAGGTACCCTCATCCCCAGAGACAGGGGTTTGGGAGCAGGTGTGTGTTCTGGAAAGTGGCAAGAGGACAGAAGGTTTCACCCGCTGCTACAAACTAACATCTAATGGTGACCCACTTCCTCACGCGTGCATGCGGAGGCACTGTTAAGGAAAGGAGGCTACACGGGTGTCAGAGAAAACACCTGCTCGGTAGTGGAGGTGAGGGAGTGGGGGCTGCCATCGATCAGAACTAACTTTTTTGGTTCTGAGAACCAAGGGGATTCCTCGCTTCAGGTAGATCACCCAGTCCTTGGCTGCGCCACTGGCATTCCCACCGAGCTGGAACACAGGCTCTGGCCTCTCCTTGGGGTCTCAGTTTCAACAGTCCCAGGAAGGAAAGGCCGCAAAGGCCGCGCCACACAGCACGGGACAAGAGGCTGGGGATCCACACCTCTCCTCAGCCCCCACCTTAGGGTTGCTGCTGTCCTCCTGCAGCCGGTCGCTGTCCTTGCTGGCGCCCGGGTCATCTGGTCTCTCCTCGAGTATCATCGCCGCCTGCCTGGACGCTGACACCCAGAGGCCGCGAGCAGCAAGTCCCTCGCACTCCTGGGAGGAACACCCGAGCTGCCCGAACTGTCCGGTCCAGGAGAGTGCGACTGACCGGCGAGGCAGGGCGCGGGCCCCGCCAGCAAAACTTGGCTCCGTCCAATCAGACTTGACTGCTGCTCCGATCGACAGCAACTACAACTAACCAGAGTGAGAGAGAGGCAGGCTCCTGGTAAGGGATCTGGTAACCCTTAGCAACCAGGGCCGCTGGCCGAACACAGTACGCATGCGCCACACTGGCTGCTGGGCTTGCGGGAAAGTTAGGAAAAGACTTGCAGAGCTGGGGGCGGCGAGCGGGCGCGGCTGCGGCTCCTGCTGGGACTTCAGTACTTTATCTCGTCACCCCGGCAACGGGACCCTCCAGGACTGCTCTAAAAATGTTTACAATGGGGTTTGTTAGAGACAAGTGCTTGTGCTGATTCTTGAACAATGCCTGCTTTCTTCCCTGCACCGCGGAGTAGAGCAGCACTGCGGTCCCCTTGCTTTCAGAACCGCCTCCAGAACCCTGGTAATGCATTCGCTTCCAGAGCACGCATCCTCATCGACCTGCTTGTTGTTCCAGAACCTGCTTGCCTCCTGGGCCTTCTGTTTTGAGAACTGAATTTTTTCCAGAACCCGAGCAAGCACTTCTCAGATTCCATGTGGTCTGGCTCACAGGGAATGAACAGAGAACACATCCTAGAAGTTAGTGGCCTGCCCTTTGTCAAGCCGTTCCAAAGGTCAGCCTCTTCCACCCTGGTCACTGCTTGTCCTTACGGAGTCGGCTCAATCTCCATTCCCCCAAGCCCCCCCCCCCCCCCCCCCCCCCCCCCCGCTCCGCCACCAACCACCACCAAAACACACACTGGACTCTTATCCCTAGCTCTAAATCCTCTCAGCTAAGCTCTTGGATGTCCCCGAGCATCTACAGTGGGCACCCCCAGAAATATATCTCTTATGGGCCCCTACCAACCCCTCCAAACTTCCTAACCTTCTCTAATGGACTTTTTGAGCCCCTGGCACTCCTTTTCCTGCATCAGCTTCCTCCATCACTGGGGCTCTTGCCATCCTGCCTGAGTGTGACCAGCACCTCAGACTTCACAGTGTGCCATATGCTGTCTTCTCCAAGCACACCTTATATAGGCAACCAGGAACTCAGACTTCTTGGTGGCTTCGCTTCAGAATCCTGCATGCATAACCTACATCCAGCAAAACATGTGACTAAGTAATAATTTTTTCCTAAGATTTATTTTATTTTAATTCATGTGTGTGTGTCTGCATATGAGTACAGTGCCTACAGAGTCCAGAAGTATACTAGGTCCCCTGGGACAAGACATACAAGTAGTTGTGAGCTGCCAGATGTCGGGACTGGAATCCTAGCCTTTGGTCCAGCATAAGAGCAGTGCACATTCTTAACCACTGAACCATCTCTCCAACCCTCCCATATTGACTCTTAACTATTCCTTTCTCTCTCAGCAAGATTGTTCTTTTCACAAGCTTAGGGAAAATTCCCTCTCTGCAGCGTGCTTAGCCGACTGCAGGGATCCACAGTAGCTTCAGAAATACTTTCCACTTAGGTCCCACTCAGGGGTCTTAGGGATATCCTGCTGCAATCCCAGTGGTCCTGCAGGGCACAGTTGTTAGGAGATGAGGATGGCTCCCAGTTGCTGAGGGTATTAAGACCTCTCGGGCTTTTCAAATGAGAACCTCAGACTCAGTCAAAAATCAGTTGGAGGGGGCAGGGAAGTAGAGCTCAGCAGGTAGAATACTTGCCTACTATGCACAAAGTCCTAGGTTCAGTCCAAGGCGCTTCATAGAACACGATGAACCCCGGTATATAGGAGCTAGAAGCAGGAGGACCAGAGGTTCAAGGCCTTTCTCCAGTTACATGGTGAGTTTGAGGTCAGCCTGGAATCTACAAGTCTGAAAAAAACAAACAAACCAAAACGAAACATACAACAACAACAAACCAACCACTCTGGACAGTAGAATCAAGCCATTTTCAGATAGAGAATGTAGCCTCGACATTTTCCCACTCCCCCGTTCCTGAGGAAATGAAGATCAGCATCTGAGGTGTCAAACCAGGGAAGGTGCTGACGCACTTGAGAGCTGGTCCGGAGTGGGGACATTCCCTTCCCAGCGTTCCATGTTTGCCCTCGGGTTACTCCCACTCTGGGCAGAGACACCAGGAGCCACTCAGTGCATCCTATCTCCTTTCAACTCAGTTAGCTCATTTAGACTACAGGATGTCTTTCCGTTGTATACCGCAGTTTATATGCAATGTGTTTGCATTGTAGGTGGCATGCGATTTCTTCCTTTTAATCCCAGTGAAGAGCTCATGGTCTGTGGGGAAGGTGGGAGGCCAGATAGAGGGCGGCTGTGCTGATGAGCTCCTGAGGCCAGAGGAGAGCACCGTATCCTTTTCGTTCTAATCGTCTGTCAAAGCTGTGGATGAAGAACGCTGCAGTATCCATTCCTTTGTAAGCAATTGAATTTTATATAGTGGGTCCACTCAGGCTGCCATGCGAAACTGGCTGTTGATGCAATAGAAACTCAGTTTTCTAGGAGGCTCTCAGGGCTCCTGAGCCAGGCGTCTCTGACTTAGCGAATCCTGTAGAAGGTGACCATGTTTTCTGTCCTGGACACTACCATGGCCAGCCCCACTGCAAGAGCTGTGCAATGTCCTGAAGCATCATGAGAGCGGTAGGGAGGATGGGCCTCTAGGAAGCCCACACTGGGCTTGCTCCTCTTCCAGTGTCCTAGGGCGGGGAGCAGCTCCCCCCACATCACCTGGAACAAGATAAGTCAGCTAAGCTTGATAAAGATGGCGGACGGAACAGAGATGATTGAATACTGTTATGTCCACACTAGGGCTCTAGGATAAGGGGTAGGGATGGGGGCCTGAACACTTTGTAGCTCCCAGCCAAGGTACTAACACTGGGAGGAAGCAAACTATATTTATTATCAGGTCACTGGACTGCTTAATCTGAAAATCCTAAGAAGTCCAACCAAAAAACCAATTATAGATAATTGGAGAGCTGGATAGGGCAGCCAGCTTTCAGTTAACCAGATCATGGATGGAACATCTGTGTCCAGCCCAGATTAACATGCTGAAGCCAGTCTCTCCTCCCCCGTGGGATGCCGCGGAGATGGGGCCTTTGGGGGTAATGAGGTTAGTTCTAAGAGAACTGATAGCTCCCCATAAGCTCAAGGGAGGCCACACCCCAAAGGCTGAATCTGCAAAGGGTAGGATTCCTCAGCAGACGCTGATTGGCTGGTACTTTCCAATCCCCTGAGTAGTGGGGAAAGGTTCCTGTTGGTTTAGTCTCCTCACCAGTGGCGCTCCTTACTGAAGTCTGGAGAGACTGATATGATGCAGAGTACAATTGCTTAAATAATAATATACTGATAATAAAAAAGACATGGGGATAGAGGGATGTTTAATCAAAATTCTGAAATAATTATAATTGTCTAGGAAGATACCAAATAAGAAATACATCTATGAGTAAGTATACTTTCACTGGGTAGCTTAAAACCAGACATTAATGGTTAGATATACCATGTACCTTGGACATATATAATAATATGAAAATACCAACTCTCCTCGAAGGTGGATTAAGGATTCACTTTATTTTCTAATCGTGTGTGCGTGAACGTATGTGCGAGCCCAGGCACTTCAGTCAGGTGCTTGCGGAGGCCAGTGTGTCCTGTCCTCTGGAACTGGAGTTAAAGGTGGTTGTGGGTGGCCTGGTTGAGGTGCTGGGAACCAAACTTGGGTCCTCTGCCAGAACTGAACAGACTTTTAAGTGCCGAGCTGAGCCGTCACAAAGAGAATACAGTCCCCATACACGTAAACACTCTCCCACACCAGGTGTCAGGAGAGGCAGCCAGACAACAGGAGCCTTCTCTAATCCAGAATGTCACCAAACACTTGGAAGCCCGAGAACATTTGGTGTTTATGAGGGTGGGTGGGAAATCAGGAGCCTGGGTCCCTACTGGACAGTGTGGGGTGTGAAACTCAGAGAATTAGGAACTGTGCACACTGTGTTAGTGACCTGGGTTTTAGCAGCTAAGAACGGATATAATTCCAAAAAGAAAAATCCCCAAACCCCACAAATATGGATGCAATGTTGATATTCCTCTTTTTAAGTTTGTTTTTTAATGTATGAGTGCTCTATCTGCATGTTCACCTCTACACCAGAAGAGGGCACCAGATCCCACTATAGATGGTTGTGAGCTACCATGTGATTGCTGGGAATTGAACTCAGGACTTCTGGAAGAATAACCAGTACTCTTAACCACTGAGTCATCTCTCCAGCCCTGCAATGCTGGTATTCTTAATAGAGCTCAACACACCAGCAGAGGTTTTGAACCTTCTTCAGACCTTTCTTTTTTTCTTTTAGACAATATCTAAAATACAGCGCTGGCTGGCCTGGAACTGCCTCTGCCTCCAGAGTGCCAGAATTAAAGGCATGCACCAAACATGCTCTGTTTTATCTTTTTATAACTATCAGAATGCTAGCTGGGTCATGTTTTGGGTACAACATACAACATGGTCCCTGGGCTTAGCATGACAACCTGCATTTGAACTCTAGAATCTACATAAAGGTAGGAAGTGAGAACAAACTCCTGGTGGATAGTCTTTGACTTTTACATGTGAGGTGCAAACACACACACACACACACACACACACACACACACACACACACATTAGCTGCAGGCAGTGAGCTAAGAGGAAGTACAGGTCATAGATTTATGTTAAAAAAAAAAAACAAACCTAGACAGAGAGGAGAGAGCCGGTGTTGATATTTATAACAAGGAAAATTGCCACCCCTGCTTACGAGGCGAGGTGACCCCTGTCACCTCATGGTCCTCAGGGCAGGCAGGAGGGCACCGACTTTGTTTAAGTACTCTGCATCCTTGGGATGGTCACGACAAGAATGGCTTATTTTTTTAAGGTAAAAGAAAGGGGGAAATGAGAGGAGGTTGAGAACGAGTGGGCAGATGAGCTCACTGTAAAAGGCAAGTGCAGGGCAGTAGTCGAGAAAAGGGTTTGTGTAGGAGTGTCCTGCAGTCAGGAGGTAGCAA